ACCTCTGAAGGACAAATAAAAATAGGGCAAAGAACATAACAAAATTAACTCTAAATCTTCTTGGTCGCCAGGCTCGTTCCTAAACATGGGCAAAAAGAATCTTCTTGTCTAGGCCTAAAATTGTAAATTCACATATAATTAAAAGATGATAAATTATCAATTTAGTCACTCATCTATTATTTTATTTTGTTTTGGTCATCCAATTATTATTTTTTTAAATCGTACTTAACATTACATTTTTTTCCATTAAAATAATTAACGAAGAAGTTGATGTAACACTTTTAAATTAATTTTTACTTTCCACTTAATTATTCCTTTGTTATTTTTTGACAAGATGATGAAGGTTACAACCTAACATGTTCCCTTTTAAAAGGGGATCGTACTTGTTTTGTGAGAGTAGTTGGGTATTTAATAAATTTTTTGATGTTTTCTATTTAAAATTTAATGTATTTATTAAATAATTTATTAAACGTAATATAAAAACAATTTACAAGTAAATTTATTCAGTTTTATTTGTTCTTACAATTCAATTTTTTATACTTGTTATTAGAGGCCTAATTTCTATTTTCGTCCCTGCCCACTAAAATCTCATAAACGGGCTGTTGGTCGCATTTCACTTCTACATCTAAATATTGTTTCTCTTTATGTGTTTAAGATGATGGCATCTTTTCGATGCCTTTCAATAATTTATTTAAATCCATCAAAGCAAGAATATATTGAACCTTCACCTATCATAACGAGAACTTGATGTTGTGATTCAACAACAAAATTAATCAGATCAAACTTGAAACGTTTTACTACCGGTCTGTAATATTAAAAGCACAATTTATATAACATCACAAAGAAACAACACTAAAATTTTATTGAAAAACTCTTTTCAGAAAAGTTCAAGGGGGGAAAATTTACGTAGGTTGAAAAAAAGTGTATATATATAGAATACCCTATTTATATTTTACATTTGCAATCTCTAATACATGTATCGGAAATCAATTTGAAAAAAAGTTAAGGATTGTGAAATGTTGAAAGTCGCTAGAAAATAACACATCCAATTATACTTTTATGTATTCCTATGTCCCCCCCCCCCTTTAATTTAACAGTCCCAAATCACTAAAAATTTCTTCCACCACCTATGCTAACATTCTTCTTTAATGGCCGAACTACCTTGAAGCGATGCATGGCTTCAACCTTGTTCACAACCCATTTCGGCTGAGCTTTCCGAACGCAAAAATATAACATTACCATTCCTAATGTCATCCCGCATCCGTACTCCATTAACAATGCTTTCCACCATAATCCTTCACCAGATTTTGATCCATTTTCGTCCTCCAACTTTAATGCTGGAACAGTTGGATCCTTCCATCTGAACACTCGACTCTGCAACAATGGATTCCCCAAGTAAGATTCTTCCTCGAACGTAGCTAATTGCCCAAAATCTGGAATTTTTCCGGCAATCTGAGGGTTGAATGAAATGTTGAACTTGCTTAGCTCATTCAAGCTGTTGAGGTTGCCTGGAAATGTGCCTGAAAACTCATTGTGTGACAAATCAAGATTCTGTAAGCACTTCAGGTTCCCAATTTCCGTTGGAATTTCACCTGAAAATTTGTTCCGGGAGATATTTAAGACCACAAGCGGCAAACTTCCAATCTCTGAAGGAAGTTTCCCATTGAAATGATTGTAACCCAAATGCAACACACTCAAATGCTGCATTTTGCCAACACCTGAAGGGACCTCCCCTGAGAATAGATTCCCACTGAGTTGAAGATATCCCGAGACTCGATATTTTCGAACCGGTGAACCTTTGACACAAACTTGGAAAAAACCATGTCCTTGAAGCAACTGATCCCATATGTTCTTGCAGATCTTCCTGGTAAAAATTGTGTATATAAAACCAAAAGGGGAGTAATCTATTGTTAGCAACCTCTTGGTCACCAAGCAGTCACTAGGACTAGTAACCATTGGGTTACTTTGGCGGTTCGATTCGAATGTTGGAGTGGGATTTCTTCCAATATTTGTTAACTCATGGGGGAATCTTCCGGAAAGTTGATTGTTGGCAAGGTTTAACCACAATAAGCTTCTGCAGTTTCCAAGCTCTCCAGGAATTTCACCAGTGAGTGAGTTGTTCGCAAGCATTAGCCACAAGAGAGATCTTAAGTTTCCAATGGAAGGCGGGATCGATCCGACAAGCCGATTGAAAGAAAGATCAAGAGCTTGTAGTTGGGACAAGTCTCCACTGTGGTGGTATGGCACCAGTAAATTGGTTGTAGGCTAAGACTAAGAACTTCAAACCTACCATTTGAGAGATTTCAGGAGGTAATGGTCCAGAAAAATTGTTGTAGCTTAGGTCTAGTCGAGATATATTTGTTAGCTTGTGAATCCCGGAAGAACTTAATCCATCTGTATATGAATTCCCTTGAAGAACAAGATATTTCAACTGTTTGAATCTACCAAAAACCTTTTGCATTTGTCCACCAAAATTGTTCAAGCTCAAATCCAGAACGGCCAAGTTGCTAAGATTCAAAAGAGATTCCGGAATGACTTTGGAAAAATAGTTGTCTCCCAACAGTAAGCCTTCAAGGGTGGAAATTGATCCAAGCTCTGATGGAATTGACCCTGTAAATTTGTTTCCCCACAGGTTCAAAATAACCAAATTCTGACAATTCGAAATCTCCCTAGGGAGCTCACCCCGGAACTTGTTTACTGATAAATCCAAGCCTTTCAGAGTACAATTCTCTGAAAAACTTGAAGCAGGAACTGGTCCGGTGACAAAGTTTCCAGAAACTGAAAACTCCACTAGCCTTGAAAAACCTGTCCAAATATTACCAGTAAACTTGTTGGAGCTCAAGTCTAGATAATGCAGATTCAAGCACCCATCAAAGAACTTGTCGATTCTACCGGAAAAATCGTTCATCGAAAGGTTTGCAACAACTAATCTGTTGCAAATTGCAGGGAAACAAAAGTTAATCTCCCCGTGAAACCGATTAGTGGACAAATCAAGCTTCTGTAAATTGGTCAACTCAGTCAACTTCAGCTCAGCCCCAAGAATATTATGTGATAAGTTGAGGTATACAAGGTTGTGGCATCTGTTTATATCATCTGGAATCGCTCCCTTGAGTGTGTTTCTTGAGAGATCAAGATGTTGAAGCTGAGTCAAAGCTGAGAAGTTGTTGAACATTTCCCCAGAAATCTTACTGTCAGAGAGGTCTACACCAGTAACTCTCTCCATGTCAGGAGAGCAGAAGATTCCATGCCACTCGCACGGATTTGAGCTCCTCAGATTCCATTCCGAGTACCTTCCTCGATTCACTCGGTTTTGTTTTTCCAGAAATGATTTCAAGTTGAGCAGGATTCCTTTGTCCGTGTTCAGAGAATTTCCTGAGACAGTAATAACAGCTGCAAATCCGAAGAACAAGTTCAATATAAGCAATCCATATCCTATTTCATAAAAGAAGGCTCTAAGTAACTACAAGAACCCAACATTCAAGAATTCAACAGCTGATGGAACAAAATTTAAGTAATTATTTTAAACCTGTGATTAGGAGTAAGACCCTAAGAATAACTGTGGAACACCATGAGTTGGCCTTGTCTTCTAACATGGTCTTGTTTTTCTTATTCCTGTCTGAAAATTTAAGCTTGTAGGAACGAGTTCTTTAAAGAGAAAACAATCAACAGAACATAAAAACCCAGATTAAAACATGTATAGATTCTTCTCCATTTGTCTTTTTTTTCTTCCTGAAAAATGTTTGTGGGAAATAAGAAGGAAAATTACTAAGAATTGTGAGCTTAGAAGAGTCAATTGGTCGTAATTAGTACGTAGTTTTGATATAAGCCAGCTTGATTGACCCGGTTATATGCTATTGACTTGACTTTGACAAAACAAAATTCTAATGGTCTAGGCACAGAGCCCAGTAAACGTGTTTTCTCAGTAATTCAGATCTCAACGTCTTTATTACTACTGGTAATAAATAAATTAAATTATGTTGGCTTCATAAATTAATTATAATGAGAAAGTTGATTTGACATGCATGACTTCCCCCCCCCCTATGTCCTCACTTCTTTAGCCGGCATTTTTGGTAATATATTTTCCATGCCGACATTATCTTAGAAAAATTTTGCAGAACAGAACAACTATATTTCGTTACGAGGAGAGTTATTCAAACAACACACAATGACTGAATTGCTAAAAGATATTAAAACTAAAATACCAAACTTCATGTGTTGTGGACACAGTGAAGTGCAAGTTAGTTTGAATCTGAATTTCTGGTTCAATTACTGATTTTGGGCTCCATTCTACTCGGCCTATCCTTACGTCACATGAAACTAATCAAACATGGAGCAACTGTTGTGATTCCATTTTTTCTTTAAATATCATTTTGAACAGGTCTTGGCACCTACATATTCTTGTGTTCCTGTTTAAAATTTATAAGTGAAAAATTTAATCAAAACAATATAAACGTAGAAATAAATTACATATAAAAGATAAGATTTAATGTGGTCATGTCTTGTCTATCTCCACGGTAGATGCTCATTTTGTTCGGAGATTTCATTCGAGTTCTCGTTGTTTATATATTATTAATTAGTTTGAATTGTTGGTTTGAGGTATTTAATTATATTTGGGTATTTAGCTGTATATATGTGCGTGTAGGGTGTATATTATATAGGTTCATATATGATATTATTACTAATTATATAATTACTAATTATTAGTATTAATGTTGATTATCTATATTAGTTATTTTCATTAGTTAGATATATCATTGGCCATATATTTTTATTAATAAAGATTAATTATTAGTTATTAATATTAATTATGTGAGTTTTTATATATTATTATTTATTATTATTTATATAATTATATAGTTCATCGCTTTATAGGACTGCCTACATATACGTGTGTGTATATATTGTTATTTTAAATATATATATCGGTTTTTATATTATTATATGTATGTATGTACGACTATAGTCTAATATATATATATATATATATGTAAACTAAAAAATTAAAAATAAATAGTTAACATTTTATTAATCTTGTTTGGATGCCTAAGGTTACAAACTTAAACGAAGCCCAAAAATTGACTAGGAAAAATAACCCAACTGAATTAAACCTCACTCGTGCAAGTCCAAGGTGGTTAGGGTTCTCTTCTTTTGTCCAGCGCCGCCAGAAGCCTGGAGCCATCAGATCTGTCAACCAATTTGACGGTACAGATCAAGACCAAAATAGGGTTTTTATAACCCTAAAAAAGAAATATGTGTAATCACCTATCTATGGTTGGATATGTTGATATCCAATGGCCCATATGCAACAAAACTTAGGGTTTTACCCTAAAGGAGACCAGCTGCCGCCAAAGAACACCAATCGTTAGATCCAGTGTGTGAAATTCACATGCGTAGCCCCAGTCGCCTCCTGAGCTTTCACGCGCGCACGTCTTAACCGCTCCCTACTGTACCCGAGCATCTGACGGTCGTATGCTCCCCTCTGCCACATTCCCTCGACAGTGGCAGAGGCTCCCCCGACGCATGCAAACAAAATGAGATAGGAAATATCAGCAAAACAGAAAAACAAAAGGAAAACAAAAACAACAAAGAGTGGGGGAGAAATATAGGAGGAAAACAATAATAAAAGGGGAAATTATTTCCCTTCAAATAAATGGAACAAAACGTGACAGCCAAAAAAAGCAAGAGGCCATTTTTTTGCACCGGACACAGAACCGAAAAGACAAAAAAACAGAGAGATTTCTTCCCTTTTTATGAGTGAACTGGATATCCAAAAAAACAAAAAGAAAAAATGTTAAGAGGAAAGAAACTTACCTTCCCCGTCAGAAAAGGAGCCTCGCCATCCTCGAGATCTAAAACGACATCAAGCCGCCAAAGGTAAAGGTTTTTTGGGGCTTGTTCAGGGGGTTGTGTGTTCGTTTTTAGTGAGGATTTCGGGTATTTCTGGGTCGTGGGTTTGTTTGGTCGTGGTTTGGTGGCCTGTTTAACCGCTCATCGGGACTGTTCGGTGTCGGTGGTCATGGTGGTTGCCTTGACCGGATGAGAGGAAAAGTAGAAAGGAAAAAGAGAAAGGGGTTTGGAGAGAGTGCCGCCGAAGGGGGATGGGGCTTGGTTATTCAAATGACATTAGGCTTAAGTTTGTTTGTTTTTATGTTAAATTTAGGGGGTTAGTTAAACCCCTAAACGGCGTCGTTCCATTCATTGGCTAGGAGTGGGTCACCCGTCTGCGTATGGGTTATTTACATACGTGCTCCTCTCATCTTTGTTTCAATACATTTTGGTCCTCAAATCAAAGTGTTTGAAGTTTCTTATTTTATCATCAAATCTTGTGCGACATTCATTTTAATCCCTAGGCTTAGTTATTTTAAATTTTCACTTGTTTGTACATCAGACATGTTATGTTCGAAATTTTTAGTTTAGTCCCATACATGTTTACAGGTTTATTTTAACTCTAGTGCCTGAAATGTGATTATTTGTGCTTCATGACCTGATTTTACCTAGTTTATAGTTTTAATCTTAGACTTGCCTATCCTTTCGTTTTGGTTATTATGCTATTTTCTTTTTCCATGCATGTTTATGTATTTATTTATGGTATATTTTGTTTCCAGTATGACTGGTGGATTGTTTACTGGCCGTTAGCCATTTGTTTATTCATTTAAAGCCTTGTGTGTTCAACATATATATTCTATGGGTTTTTATTATGCCACATGCCACTTTTTCATGGTAAGATGCATGTAAATATATAAACGTATACAAAGTTTTATGTTCGATTAAGTGGGTTTCACATACGAACATGCTGAATCATATATATATATATATTAAGTATAATTTAGTTGTTGATGTTAATCTATTCGTTTGCATATGTATACATATATACTAATTGTAATATGATAAGTTTTGTTTTTATTTATTTTATTCAAATTATTAAATAAGCTAGTATTAGGGACATTAGTATGTATTATTCTTTTTATAATTTTTTTAGAAAACATATTATTTTTAATCAAACTCAAACATCATACATTTTTAACATTTTTCTAAATTATATATATACATTTGCATTTGCTTGGACACTTTTTTTATATCATTTACTTAACGAATAGATTATTACATGTTGTGTACGATACCCTCGTGAGCATCACTCGACTCCATCCAAATAATTGAAGTAAGGTTAATGCCCTTTGATTTTAGGGTTGTCGTGAAGTGATTGTCTTAACGTATAAGGAAGTTACTTCCATTAATTTTAAAATAAAAGTGCATCCCATCAAGTAAAACCCTAAAATTTGATCATAGCTAAAATTTGGGAACGAAAGAAAAAGAAATGTTCGTTTATTTAAATATTTCAATGAAAGATCGTTAGAACTTATAAAAGGTCTGATCTCGACGTCTGTAAATAATCGAATATCCTTATTCTTTCTAAAAGGATTGGTAATTTTTTAATTAAATTTGATTTATTTTATCATTGTTCATGCATTTTGAAATTTTAATTAATAATGAATTTTAGAATAGAATTGTAATATTTCTTTATTTCGATTGGAGTGAGAATTGACTGCTTTAAGGTATGAGATGTCTTTTCTTCTCGATAGGAAATAATTAAATAATATCGTTTTTCGTCCTAAAATTCAAAGAATATTATCTAAAGGGATCTTAAATTAAATTAAATTTGAACTCATAAATTTCATTGCGAAGACAACTAATTAATCAACTATAGACCGATTTAGGGTGTTGTGGGAGTGTTAATCCTTCCCTACGTGTAATCGACTCCCAAACTCAATTTTTGGTACGTATACCTAAGACGTTGTTTTAATAAAATTAAAATTATTTTATTAAAATGACAATCATTTTGGATGTCCAATCACACCCTAATCAAAGATTGGCGGCGACTCCTCGAACCATTTTTTACTTTAAAAGGAAACATCAAATTAATCGATACGAGATTTTTTTTAAATCACACTTTTTTAAAAATTAAATCTGTTGTTTTTTTAAGAAAGAAATCGTTTTGACAGCTTGACGACTCTGCTGTGACTTTTTTTAGAGAGTCAGGTCGTTATTCAATTAATTAATTGTCTTTGCAATGAAAATTACAAGTTTGTTCTAATTTAGTTTTTGATCCATTGTTTGGTTTAAATAATTTTTTGTTTGCAATTTGATTAACCATTAAATAGTTGGACTTATTTGTTTGCTAATGTTCTAAGATTACATGAATCTTAAAGGGAATTGAAATGAGTTTTGTGTGTTGTGTGATTGTTTGGTTTTTCGCTTTTCCTCACACACTGTGCACTTTCATTATCATAACATAAGCTAAAACCCCACTCTGCCCTATTTAAGTTGGAATGATAAACAACTCCCTCGTGTGGTTTTCACCTTCGTATGGGATAATGGATCGCTCATGGGGCTCACGCCTTATGATCCTCGTGATAGTTTTCACCTCCGTATAGACATAAGGAGGTGTGTTCCCTCAAATTAAACTCAATTTGAAAACCTGTGATGGGCCAGGATTGAGGGTTTGGCAGCCCAAGGGGCACCGACAACGACAATTCGAGAACCTTTTACTTTAGAGTCGAACCCAATATATAGTGAACCTAGGACCCGAACTTAGGTAGAGCCTAACCCAAACCTAAAGAATCCCGTGATGAGGGTATATAAGGAAAAGCTATTTTGAATCTTTTAATTTTTGTAATATAATTTCGCTTTCCGAATAAATGCATGAGAATTAGAGATCATGTGGTTAGGTTTTTTCCGAATAACCATGCAAACTAGATGGCATGAGGTTAGGTTTTTTATGTTAAACAAAGCATGGGGGTAGAAATCATGTTTGTGTAAGATCTGCTAAAGCATGATTGGGTAGTCAGTATGTGAGGGTAAGTTTTATTGATATATTATATTATGCCCGATTGATTTTTTATGATTACTGACTAAGTTTCTTTTGCATTTTTATTTTATTTTGTTTTCCTTTTTACATTGCACTATTCATTCCATGGTGTTGATCCATGATCGATGTCCATATAGAAGGCTAGTAATATGGAACGAATGATCTAAAAAGAGGTAGAAGATAATGCATATGTCTGAGATGGTTAGAGCAATCCCAACTCGCCAATGGAGATAGCTTACAGTCTGGGTACGTGTCAGATTTGATTGGTTACACCCATATCAATGTCCGTAAAAACGATCTGAACAAGTTGAAAGAGATTTGGGGAAAATGAGAAGCAGTCGATAAACAGTTGTTCTACCAATTATATGGTGACATCTCCTATCTCCTAGACGTTCCGATTGATCAAAATGTGTTTAGAGCTCTTACAGAATTATAGAACCCCGCCTACAGTTGCTTTACTTTTGGCCGATAGAGGAGTATCATGCCTTGATTCACTATCCGAGATTCCAAATAGATATGGTGTACACTAAATCGCCAAACATTAATTCTTTCAAAAGCAACTACCTTTGATGACTGGGATGAGTGAAGAATGGGTCGTAAGAAGCATCAAGAAAAAAAGAAGATAGTGAATGCATCATATGGATTACTCTTAGAAAGGTAATTGATCGTCAACCTGATAAGAGAAAGAAGATAAACTTGTTTGCTCTAGGTATTTATGGGCTAGTCATATTCCCAAAGGTCATGGGGCATATTGATGTGTTAGTGGTTGATTTATTCAAAAGATTGGACAAGCATGTAAATCTCGTTCCAACTATTTAGGTCGGGACATTTTGTTCCTTAAACTCTTGCAGACGAGAGGGGGGAAGGCGCTTCATAGGGTGTACACCACTGTTGCTAGTTTGGATCCTCAAGCATTTCAAATACATTGAGAGGGGACCTGGATGCGTGTTTCTAGAGAGGTTTTCGTCTTGAAAATATTTTATTTCCTGAGAGTGGCCTGGGGTTTTACAAAAGAAAAATAGATGGTCATTTTTAAATATATCCAAGATGGCGACGTATTGTGGTGTGCTTCGTGGAATATCTCTTTAGACATACTCTACATGTGTGGAGAGAGAGATTGGGTTCCTTTTTCAGCCATATGAGGTTCCGTGGGATATGCTCATTTATTGGTTTCCAAACAATATGGGTCAAGATAATTTATTCCGGTAACTTAGGATTTATCTGGTGTCAAAGTTTGCATTCAAATAAGAGCAATATAAAAGTAAAGTCAAAGGGGTTGTTGATGCATGAAAGCAAATTCATCATTTAAATTTCATCACTTTTGATCTGAAGCTTTCACAAGAACATGAGGACTGGATAAGTAATCAAGTTAATGATAACATCTCGATGGTCAATCCAGAAAATATCCAGCCCATGGAATAACATCTTAGAGTTGTACCATCTCCATTAGAATTAGCCATACATGATTTTGAGGCTAAAATAAAGCAATGGAATGAAGCATTACAAAGGATGGAGTATAAGGTATGTAACACCCCTAACCTGTACCCGACCCGGATACGAATCCGAGGTGTCACATTGACATTTTAAAACATTGACTCTTAAAAAGTAGGGGAAGATTTAAACTTTCATTTGTATTAAAATGGTGGTACCTTTGAATTAAAGTAAATAATAAAAACTCGCATTAATATTTAAATAAACACTTAATAATTCACATAAAAACAAAAGGTATGAGTTCACAAAATAAATCTAAGCATTTCAATTTAAACTTGTAGTACATGCCAACAGTTTACAAATTTACAAGAAACCTACATTTAAATTGTTTTGATATGATCTTTACGGGATTATGATGTCCTCTTCAAGCTTCAATCTTTTATTTTCTTCAAAACCTACGTGTGAAACATTCACACGCTAAGTCTTTGACTTAGTGATGCAAGTACGAGCCAAATAAAACTTTGTAAACGAAATCTTTAATCATTTCATATATACATTTTGTAAGGAATTCAAATCTCTTTTCAAAACCAGAATGTATTCTTTTATACATTATTCGATTTATATAACTTTGTTTTCAAATGCCCAATGTATACTACTGAGAACTCTAGGTATTTGAGTACATTGAGGTTGTACACTAATGATGTCACCAAACCTCACATAATTTGCACCGAAGTGCCACATATTTGTCCCAAAAAGACGACATAGTTTTATCCCAAAGAACCATATAGAACCCACGACTCTTGACATGCCAACTAT